ACACACACACTGTTTACAGAAACAACTACCCACACATGCACGCACAACACAACACACAGCACACACACACCCATACACACACACACACCCAGCACACACACGCTGACAAGTCGCGTAATACACCACGCTACAGGCCAAGCCAAAATATAAATACAAATCCAGCGCAGGCTCAGTCGGCGCCATCTGGGCCGAGCTTCATCAGCTCCAGCGAGGACACGTTGCATACGTCGCAATCTCAGGCAGCGCCCACATCGGCCATGTCGCCCGGCTCGAATGGGTCGCGGCGCGATGATCTGGACAGGCAGCTGCCGTTTAAGTCAGCCTTCAATGACTACGGCAGTCGACCGACGCGCGATCTGACCTATTTGCTTTATAAGCGCGGACTCTGAATTTACTTAATACACTCGGTCTAACTAAATTAGTTTAGCTACTAAATTAATAATAATTTGCATTTAATAAACGCCAAAACAAATACAAATTGAGTCTAAGCTATCAATCTCTCACACTCGCGAAATGGTCGCCTTGAGCTGATTTTAATATTTCATTATAAAGCTAAGAAATCACGTAATTCAGTTGCCAGCTTCAGCAAATTTGTGGCACATTTTACTTTTGGCTTTAGTATGCAATCAACTTTGTTAGTTCGGTGCGTTGATTTCGATAAATACGCATGTGTATTGGTAAACGTATGTTTATGTATTAGTGCATGCTCGGTGTGACCTGCTTGTTTTCTCTACGCACTGCTAACAAAACTTGCCAGGCGTCAGCATCCGTGTGCTGTGTACGTGTGCGTACAAGACATGGATTTTCGATTTTGAAGATAATGTATGATAATATAATAATAATAATAAGAATTGTGATAAAAAGCCGCTGTAAATAAATGTATGGCTGAGTGAGGTAAGATAGCCCAATGATATCTATCAAAGCGCTTAACTGTAATTTGAAGTTCTAAGCACAGATTACTTCCAAGCCAAAAATGACAAATGAGAGGCCATGAGTCAATTGATAGATAAGCATTACTGACTTTTGTAGCATGCAATAAGAATATTTGCGCTTAGTTCAGATAAATCACTTCTTTTCTTCACAGGAATATTGTTTTTTTCTTTCGTTGTTTCTCATTCTTAAGAAGAATGCTTGGCAATTTCGAAAATATGTTATCCGAGTAGAACTCAGATTCCGCTGGCATTTTATATTTGAGATAGTTTAAGTGATTTAAATTTAGCTTGAGCGTGATAAGTCCAAGCTGTTGATAAGATTTCTGAGTAGGTTTTGTCACTTGAAGCTGGCTCAATTGTTGGCTATCCACATCCACATCTGTGCAGAGCATTGTCGGCACTGCTGATGCTCTGGGACAGCAGCGGGTCCAAGACTGGCACAAAGAACCGCACCAGATAGAAGCACGAGCGCAGACAGACAGAGATCTTGAGAAGTGCAACAAGAACAAGAGAGTCAGAAGACGTCGTCGTCGTCGTCGCCGTCGCTGCTGCAGTGCGACAAAAATTTGCAAATCGGAAATGTAAATCGGTGGCAATGGCATCGCAAAGATCACGTAGCCGGGGCCGTGGTGGTGTCGGCAACGTGAGCGCGATATAAATGCGGCCCAACGGTGCCATAGGCCGCTATAAAGAGCTAGCACCGTGGCCATCCAACGAGCAGTAGACATCTGAGTGCTGACACATCACGCATCCACACAAAATGCAACTTGGTCTCTGGTTTGGGCTTTTCGCCGTCGCCGCCGCACCGGTACGTTAACCTGTGTGCCACGATACACCACGACATAGATCTCCGTAATCTCCGCCAGCAGGCGACTAATCATGTCAATCACAATTCTCTTCTATTCTATTCTGTAGCTGGTGAGCGCTAATTACGGTTCGCCAGGTAGGGGTGCTGGCCGTCAGATACAGTATCTGCCCGGTGGTCAATCGGAAGGCTTGGAGGAGTATGTGAATGCCGCGACCGGCGGCTCACAGCCATCGGCTAACCAGCTGACGGCACAGGCTGAGATTCAGCCATCGCCGGAGGAGGCACGTCGTCTGGGACGCGTCCAGGCTCAGCTGCAGGCACTGAACAACAATCCCACCTATCAGAAGCTGAAGAACTCCGAGGATATTGCCGAATCGCTGGCCGAGACCAATCTGGCTAGCAACATCCGTCAGGGCAAGATCAATGTGGTGTCGCCCCAGTTTGTCGATCAGCATCTGTTCCGTTCCCTGTTGGTGCCATCGGGCCACAACAACCATCAGGTGATCGCCACACAGCCCCTGCCGCCAATCATTGTGCACCAGCCCGGCGCACCACCCGCCCATGTGAACAGCGGCCCACCGACCGTTGTGCGCGGCAATCCCGTCATCTACAAGATCAAGCCCTCGGTCATCTACCAGCAGGAGGTGATCAACAAGGTGCCGACACCACTGAGCCTTAACCCCGTCTACGTCAAGGTCTACAAGCCGGGCAAGAAGATCGAGGCCCCACTGGCCCCAGTCGTTGCGCCCGTCTACAACCAGCCTCAGTCCTATGGCCAGCCCCAGGCTTACAACCAGCCTCAGGCCTACAGCCAACCTCAGTCGTATGGCAACTCTGGTAGCTCCGGCGCTGGCCACTCCGGTCCCAGTTCCGATAGCTATGCCGCCGGCGCTGAAACCCCCCTCTACGCCAGCCCAGCTCCCTATGGCTCCCCCAGCTACTAAGCCAGATATAATCTCGGCACTTGCACTTGCACTTGCAGCTGCTGTCGCTGCCAGCACAGCAGTCGAGCAGTCCAACGCCCAGCTGGAGGGTGTTTAATTTAACAACTTTGTTTTTTTTTTCTAAATGCAAATAAAAAAAAATAAGCCCAAAATACCCATAGACATTGTGTTTACCTCTCCAATCTAGCAACATACTATTTATAATACTTACCTGTCGCGTGTTAATAACATGTACTTATGCCGCACATGAGAATGTTTAGGGTAGGCGTAATTGCACAGATCATACTATATCATTATAATTATTTTCTAGACTTTGATTACTTACTTTGCAAGATGTGCACATATGCACTTAAACATATTGACAAACATAGACAACAAATGGGCCAAGATCAAAGGCCGAACTGAACACTCGACACTATTCGACTACTCAGCACTTTGTTTTAGATCTCTTTCTGTGACAACTTTAGAAATTCTGCTGCCGTTTGCTGCCGTTTGCGAAATTACAATTATGAAATATATACAATATATATAAATTTATATACGTCTGTCGAGTGTTGGTGCAACTGCAACTGAAGATGCAGCATATTTGATCATTTACATAAAATTAAGTAATAACTATTAAATGTAACTAATGTAGTTAGTCAAATATATAATGCTTATAAACAAAAGAGAGGTAGCGTGTGTTCGCCATTTGGGGAAACATTTGATCGGGAACTTGTCAACCATCCTCATGAGTAGAATTAAAAAGTATAGCTACATATATGATCACTTAAACAATATGAAAGAGACACTTTTATATAAATTGGCTAGTCAATAATAATATAGAGTAGGTTTTAAAAAAAACAGGATGGGTCTTTAGTGCTTCCCAAATGAACAGAAAGTTGTCGACCTGCCTGATGGAGGGTGCTCTACTCTTGCAGAAGAATCTTTTGATCTGAGCTGGAAAGACTCTCTCTTTAACAAGCTGCTTTTGCCTATTCGAAGAAATGTTAGTAAATAGTATATTTAGGCAAATACTTCAATGTGCGATATTGTAAGAAAATCCTTTAAATGCAATATAAGTTAAAATCCAAAAAAAAAAAACATATATTGCTTATGACACAGTTGTGTCTCAGGCAAAGCTCGTTGTATGTTCTGCACGATATGGAAACAAAGATTACCAACTATAATGGCTACTACGGCTCACATCAATACACTAGCCAGGGATTCCAGGGACCCAGTTCTTTATTCATTTAGTTTCCCAAATCTGAATCTGTCATCTATCGAGTCTGCAAGTTGTTTTAACTTATTATGTATATTATATACCCAACAATAACTTAAAAGTAACACAAATTGGATAGATGAGGGATTGATTATAACAATCGACCCATCCTATATATAAATAGATAGATATATACGGATTTTTATATTTATTACCTAATTATGACTAGAAGTGCTTAATCGTTATTTGGTAACGAAAACTCTTTTAATTTGTAAAAATTGTTATTAATTTAGTTAAGAATAATTGCTCTATTCTATATAAAAACAATTAAATATATAAATATAAATAATTTAACGGTATGTCTTATCCACTGGAAGCTTGTCTAGACTAACGGAGCCTCAACTTTAATTATATCAAACTTGAACTAATTTTTTCCAGTGAACTAAAAAGGTTGATAAAAGGGCGAATACTGAGCCTCTGCAGACTAATTAGAGCTAATTGTGAATGAATTCTTAAAAGAAATGTAAATTAAATATTTAAAATTTGGTCAACTGCAAGGCAATTGTTTTCAGTGTATGCTAAGTATATGCAAAATGGAGCGTTGAAAACATTTGACAATGATCTAAAACAATCAATCAGTGTATAGATAAATCATTTATCCCCATATTGTTGCGCACGTCTAAAAGGAGCTGGGCCTGGGCCTTGGTACTTACAATGCGGCAGAGATCAGCTGCAATTGGAGCGACAATCGAATCGCATGGAGCTTTCAATGCGGAACTGTTGACAGCCATTTGGCAATCGCAATCAACGCAGACAGTCGGTTGCGTTCTGAAAAACCTCGATATGGCTTATGTGTCAGGGCACGATGCACGAGATGGGAGCTGCGGATTGTTGGCCGGGTTATATTTGTTATTGCTTTCTACGTAACACGCCGAGATATGCGCGACGAGATGCGTGCGAGCAATCAGCATTTGGCCATGTTTCGCTAGCTGGCGTGGGCAATAGCAAAATAAATGCAACAACAACGGGCCGTGGCTGGAGCGGAACCAGCTGGAGCGGCTAACCGGCAGCGGCTGGCGACCGGGCCAAATGTCACGTACCATAGGGCAAGCGTTCGATGGCAGCATATTTAAAGAAATCTCTGGCCGAACTAAGGCAGCAGAAGACATCAGACGGTCGCACAACGAGCCACTCGAGTTCGAACTGCCAACTGGGACTGGAAACGATGAACAGACACAGCTTCATTTGGGCGCTAGCCGCCTGCTTAATTGTACGTAACAATACGGCCAGATCTGTGGCTAGACGCCAGTCGATGATGACCCAGTCGCAGCATCACATCTGAGCGAATCTCAACTAAATTCAACGCACAACTTCATTTGCCTTTCTCTCTCTCTCTCTCTCTCTCTCTCTCTCTTCGTTTCTCCGTTTCTCTCTCAGGCATGCGCCAGCGCTAACGGCTACGGCGGACAACAGGGCTACAGCTCTGGCGGCCAGGAGGCCTACGGCTCTGGCGGACAGCAGAGCTACAGCTCCAGCTCTGATGGCGCTGATGCGGCAGCTGCTGCATCCGCTGGCGGTGCTGGTGAATACGGCCATGCTGGTGGTTTGGGCGAAGGCGCCGCTGCCGGCGCTTTGGCTGGTGGTGCTGATGCCTCGGGCGTTGCCCAGGCCGGCCAGAGCACCTATGGCTCTGACCAGAACATTCCCTACAAACCGGTGAACACCAAGGGCAACACCCTTACCTCTTCGATCACATACCCACAGAACAAGGGCGAGATTCTGATCCATCGTCCGGCCCCCATCATTGTGCGTCGCCCACCCACCAAGGTGCTGGTCAACCATCCTCCATTGGTTGTCAAGCCCGCCCCAGTTGTGCTGCACAAGCCCCCAGCAATCGTGCTCCGCAAGGTCTACGTCAAGCACCACCCACGTCGCGTTAAGGTCGAGCCTGTCTTCGTCAATGTGGTGAAGCCCCCAGCAGAGAAGTACTTCGTCAATGAGAACAAGCAGGGTTACGGTCAAAGCTCCCACGGCGCTGGACAGGGTCATGGACACCACATTTTGAACAGGCCCGGTCCCATTGTGTCCGGTTCCCAACAGCATGGCCCCGGTGGCCAGGCTCTGCCCGCCTACGCCTCTGGTGCCGACAATGCCGCTGCCAGCGCTGGCTACCAGCTGCTCCAGGGTGGCAACCATGGTCTCTCCGCTCTGGCCAACATTGCCGGCGACCGTGAAGGTAACTATGGCAGCCAGAGCTATGGTGGTCACGGCCAATCCGGCCCCAGCTACTCAGCTCCGTCGTACTAAGCGCAACGCTTACGACGCTAGCGCTTCCAGCTGCCAGCTACCAGCCTACCTCTGGCTGGTCTTAGTTACTATGTTTTTTACACGGCTTGGACGCCCACAAGGCGGGCGCGCAGGTTTCTTTGCAAACAAATAAAAAAAATTGAAAAAAAACACATATTTTGTTATAATTTATTGTTTTCCTCATTGGATATTTATTATGATCACAGTTTATAATATATAGTTATAATCAGCAGATGTAAGCTAAGTTATTATTATTTATTTACAGCTCCGCATTGCGTCAAACGAATGTCGCTTTTTGAAATCTTAACGATTTTAATAAGGCTGTGGCGCCAGCTTCAAAGGCTACCAGACTGTAAGAGTCAATGTAGTCTGGCAGGCTTTTTTTTCTGCCAAGTGGTACTTATTTCCTCCTTGAGCAATTTCACAAGGAATTTAGTATTTTTAGTTTTATCAGTAAAAAATCACAATTAATTGATTCGCAAATACACGAAAATTAAATTAAAATAAATTAATACAACTATTTTTAGACTTATGTGAAACTTGTGCTTTTATTTTAAAATAGTAAATACTGCATCTTATTCCACAAAATAGTTTCTGTTTAGGTGGCAAGCCATTTAATCCAGTTAGCTTAAATACCGAAATTTTAAAACTTCTGGCCACACTGCAGACCAAAGCTCCTTTCCGAATTTAACATTCAAATTAGTCTGGACAGTTATTTTAATAACTAGCAAATAAGAAATCTTGTAAAATAATACAATTTTTAACATTTCTAAAAAATGTTCTCTATAATTGTATCGTAAAGCTATATACATATATGACGGATCTGAAATCAATCAAAATATGAAACATTCATGCTTATACTTTGGGCAATCAAAGTAGATTATGGAATAACATTTAAATGCGCAATAGAGCCGAAAGAAAGTATTCTTTTGCACTTATACCTATTCATATATCTACCCATAAATATATTTATATGCGAGACTTAATTGCTTAATACGTGATGTTATAAGTTTCTGTAGTTAGTTTTTTGTAAAACATATAAGCCAATAATTTACATTTGCAAGTGTTTCTCTGCCACGGCTATAATTTAATATTCGAATTTGATCTTGAATGATACGTTTCAATTAAGAAGATTGTCGGAGGGAGTCGAGAAACATTTATGTAATAAATACGTACTTAATGGGTTGATGTGAGGTTTAGGCCGAGACACACTCCAAATCTTGCCACACAATATTGATTATGATAAACGCATTGCGTGATAAGCAAACTGCAGGCTAAATGCTTTGCCATCGACGAGACGACAAAAATGATAATTATTTTTGAATTACACTCATCTGGTGGCCTCCTGCTGCTGCTGTGAGAGGTCGAGTCGTTTTTATTTGCTGCACCTCCTAATAAAAATTACAGCAATTGAAGATGCAATATAAAAAAAATAAAAACAAGTACAATAACAACCGAGTTAAGCACAATAATCGAATCTGACGCAAAAATTTGAGATCTAGGTCGCCTGGTGCCGCCCATTTGCCGATTTGAGAATTCAGCATAAAAATCCGACACTTTTGTGAAACGTTTTCAGTTTGTAAGCATAAATCGGGCACAAAAACAAAATAGCAGAGCTCACTGAAAAACCAAAAAATACAAAGCGAAAAAAAACGAACGAACGAAACACTACGAAAAACTGTTACAAGTTCAACGTGTGCAAAAGAGACGGCAAAAGAAAAACTTAGCTCGTTCAAGATGCGATTCTTCTCGCTGGTTCCGTTATCGTTGGTTCTGGTTCTGCTGCTGCTCCTTGGCCAGGGCTATGGCCGCAACCTGGTAAGTGTGGCGCCTCCATGTGGAACAGTCGAGTGATTTTTTCTTTCAAAACCCTTTAGCCCGTTCGGATGCGTGCTCAGCGCCAGACTGCAGGAAAAGCGTTTCCACACTTTTTCCAGCTGGTTCTGAACATTATGAGCAGCCTACACCAAATCGAATCTTAGAACGAGCCGTGCACATCATATTGCTGCGTTTCTTAATACCTTGGTAACTAAACAATTCGTTTAAGTGTACTATATGCCAGGGCTGTAAATCCATTCAAAATTTTTAACCGGTTCGGCTTACGAACCGAACCAGCTCCCATCCTTGAGGTTCAGTTTGTAAACCTGGCTTTCCACATCCAGCTTGGATCGAACCTTAACTTAAGCTTAAAACACAAATGGTTCGGTTGTTGGTTGCTTAAAATCCCGGGTTCGAACCGGTTCCGTTCGGTTTCCAGCCTTGGTATATATGTACATCCATTCCATATACAATCTTTTTGAATTATTCTTTCTTACAGCATCGTTTCAGAAGTCCAATTTGCAAGGTTTTTCAAAGTTGATTTCAGTAGCGTGCTATTGAGAATGATGGTTTCTACCTCATCAGTCTAATAGTTGATGAAAATAACCCGATAAACAGAATATTGCAGCAGAGCTTTCGAAACACCACGTACAAACGAACCATTACCAAATTTCTTCCAATAATCTGCACTTCCGTACATTTTTTTTTTTTCGTGTCTGGGCATTTTGATTTTTATTCGTTATTAGGTTACATTTTTTTTTGTTGTGGTTCTTTGTTAAATAATGTGTATATATATATACATACATGGGAATTGTTTGTTGTAAATTTTAAATTGTTGTGTGAAGAGGTTTAACATTGTAATTTGTAAAAAAAAAAATGAAAGCAAACCGCTTTTAAGTTTAGATATATACGTTAGCTAATAATTTTTAAAAATGTATAAATAAATTTATTGTAAATGCGTTTCTCGTTGTTGCTCTCGAAATTGAAGTTGTAAGCTAATAAAATCGCATAAAATTGCATAAATTACATATTTAAAATAGTTGATGTTTTTTTTTAATGTTGCGTGTTAAATAATGCGATAGTTCTATGGATTTTATTTGTTTGATTTGATATTATTGAACTGGTTCACTATGTTATTTTTAAAATTATATTTAATACAAATTTAAAACGGCGAATGGTTATTTAGTTATGTTCGAGCAAGTTTTAAAAGTCGATGAAATGCAAATTGTGAAGTTAGCTTATAATTATATACATAGTTTGAATATATGTAATGTTTATATGGAGAATGTAGTATATAGAGTGCGTTGTTGGTAGTTGTATACAAATTTGAAATCGAGTCGCGGCGCTTTAATGACGTGGTAGTGGCCCATAGCCGGCTGACGGAGACTGCTGTGCATTTACTCCGCCTGCCTCTATATTATAATTGTTGATCCGCTCGTACGGCATTCCAGCTGGTGGCGGCGCCATGCCCCAGGCGTATGGATTCTAAAGAGAGCAAAAAAAGCATAGTGTTAAAATAAAGTTAAGCTATGAGATATGAGGTAGAATATCCAATATATTATTCTCGTCATTTAAGATAGTTTACCTGACCACCTTTGTGGGCGGCAAAGAAAATCGGCGGCGGCATCGGTGGCGGTGGCAATGCTTGTTGGGTTGGTGGCGCCGCCTGCAGTGTGGGATAAAAGTTAAACTGATTGCCGTTGGTGTTCGGCGATGGAGTTGGCGTGGGCAACAGCATTGCATGCGATAGATGTTGATCCTTGTTGAGATCAGGCAGCTGTTCCGGGCGCTTGGAGCGCGCCTTGTTGAAGGCACCACGCTTGGCACGAGAGCGAGTCTTGTCTGCGTTTGGCTCCGTAGCGGGCGCACATGGGGAATTGTGTCCAGTTGCTGCCACCGGCGAGGGCGGAGGGGTAGAGTTTGCTGCCAGAACAACTGCCTCATCGTTCCTTTCCTTTTGTTGTTGGTCCGTGTTGTGATAGTTTTGGTTGTTATTCTTATTGCCGCACATCCTTATCTGTTCATCGGGTGTCAGCAAATGAGAGAAGCGCATGTGCATATCGACGCCCATATTATAAAAGTAACGCAAGGTGCCCAAATCAGCGGGCAAATCCTCGCCATTGGCATGTAGCGACCGGCGCGGCTCTGACTGATCCTCGTTCCAGCGCGTTCCAATTTTACTGGTGCTGGTCGTAGCAGCGTTGGTGGTACAGCTGTTGTTGCTGCTGGCGCTACAACTAGGGCGTTTGCCTACCGAGGGCAGTAATATTGAAGCCGGTGGCGGCGGCGGTGGTGGTGGTGGTGCAAACATATATGGTGCTGTGCCAAATGGCGGCGGGGGCGGCGGTTGCAGCGCAATGGGCGGCGGTGGCGCGTACCCACCAAAGTGCATGAACATACAGCCATCGGGTGTCAGTGGCGGTCCCGGAAAAACGCCAGACGGAAATTCCTCTGGCATAGGTAGCGTCGCTCCGCGCCACGGCGGCGGCATATGACCAGGACGCCCACCCATGGGCACATAGTTAACAAACTGAGTAGCTGGCGCCTTTGGATGTTGCGGTGCCGGCATGGAGGATGCACCAGCACCTGGCGGTACTTGTTGTGGTTGCAACTGCTGTTGCTGCTGCTGCTGCTGAAGGCGTGAGTGCTTGTCGCGTGGTTGGAAGCGATGCTCCCGCGGTTGTTGTTGCTCCATCTCCGCCGACTCATTAACCTCAACCTGTTGCTGCGATTGCTGCTGTTGTTGCAGAATCCCATGCTCGTTGTACAACGGAGGACAACCGTAGCAGGTGTCTAGCTGCAGATACTGCACAACCTCGCACTTGCTTGCCTCAAAGTAATTGGCCACATCATACAGCTTGGCTTTCTTCCACCTGGGCTTGGGCTTTTGGCCCAACTTGGCCAAATGCATACGCTGCATCTGACGCTGATAGCGGAACGGCACCGCCCACGGTCGGAACTCATCCGGCGGCACCGGATGCAATGATTCGTAAGGCACCTGGTATACACAATGAAATAGAAGAGAAATCAATTAAAGCTGGTAGAAATTGCAAATTTTGGGCAAGGGAGTTGAAGCAGCTTCTAAGGAGGGGTTTTGGGCGTACCAAAAATTTCTTTCCAAATTGCTCGACATAGACAACACAGTAGGATTTGTCAGCGCTTATCTTTTGAATGTGGCATGTGTACAATTGTCTTTCGGAATCGGTCAGCAGCTCCACGCGGCACTTGGCACCCACCTGAAAATGAGGAGCAGGAGTCAGGATTGGAAGCATTAAACTTGGATGTGGATTGAATTTGGACTGGATGCGTTTCGATGGAGATATCAGTAACCAGCTAGGCTGGGAAGTCGCCACTTTGGTTTGGCTCAGTACACACCTTGAAATTATAATCATTGGCGTAAACATTATAGCGCTTGGCCTCCTTACGCAGATCGTTCCAGCTATCAAACTCGATGTTCCGATACATGTAGGGATCCAGGGACTTAGCCACCTTATAGGGAAATGGGGTGATGCCTATGGAGAGACAAAAGCCATTACATTTTAGAGTCTATACAGATATGTATACATCTGCTTACCATCATCTAGCAGCTGACGCACACAAGAGTTCGTGGGATTCGGACACATGTGCAGCACCTCTGTACTCTCGCTAGCTATTATGCTGTTCAATGGCAGTTCCAGCCTTAGATCGCGCCTAGACGGGGACTCCGACGCGGAGGACACAGATGTGGAGCGCTTTTCATCAAACGCTTTCTGCGGCAACTGCTTGATATTGCTGTGAAAATTGCATAGCTTGTAGTTCTCGAGTATGCACTTTGTATTCTCGGGCCGATCGAGCGAGAAAGTGCGTCCATCGCAGCAGATAATGCGCACAAAGTAGCCCCTTGAATCAAGCTCCACCTCGTAGTTGCCCCAATCGAACGTTTGCGGATGCAACATGGACTCAACGGCAAAATTCACGTCGGGAAGCTTGAAGAGCATCTTATAGAGCAGTTTAAAGCTGATTGCTGTAAAATATAAGCCCGCAATCAATACGTACTTTATCTTTAGAATAAGAAACAACTAACACTGGCTTATTGCCGCCGTTTCAATGTAGTCCAAAGTGTAAACAGAATCAAAATGAAACTCATTCGTGTAAAACACACGAAAATTATCCTGATAGCGCTCGTTATAGGTCACTGCGGTGCCCAAATTGAATGGCTCAAACAAGATGACATTGCGGCTAAAAGCATACAAATTAATTCACAGCTCATTTTGTGGCTTTTGCGAATTACTCACCGGTACATGCAGCACAAGGCACGCAGCTCCAGCATGGTGCCATATGTCTTGGGCTTGGCCATGTCCAGCATATAGCTATCAAAATCGCCACGCACATGCTGTGAAAATATGATTATATATAAGAAAATAATACTAAACACAATCAATTTGTGACCTAAATACCTCCGCTCCGTTTCATCAAAATAGCTATTTAGTAAATCATTTTAATGACTAAAGACAATTGCATTTTAAATATTATTGAACTACAACATTAATAGGTATATGTAGATCTGTAGACGTTATGTGTTTTAAGCTCATAAAAGCAAACGGAATAATCTTTCGAGACTAATCGGTTTTAAATTATAGATATTGATTTCCGCTTTTGATGGTTACCTGTTCGAAGATGCGGCGCTTTCGCGTCATGAAACGCACGCACTCCAAGCGCACCTCGTAGTGGAGCATCTGGGTGTCATACATCTGCTCGGCTATTACGCGGAATAGACATGATGCGTCCCTGGCCGTGTGCTTGCGATACATGCAGCGGCTCTCCAGGAATTGATCGTACGGATCCGGCGCCTGCCGGCTGCCGGAGGTAATCGGGCGCCTCAGCATCATGGTAATGT